CACCTCGGAGTACACCCAGGAGTTTGAACGGGACCGGGGGCCGTACCAATTCACTTGCCGCCTCAAGTGCATCAGCGTATGCACCCAACGCAAACAGTGCGCCCGACTCATACTTTCCCGCGCAAACCCTTCGAGATGGTAATGGGCGAACGAGGTCTGTCAGCAAGACGGTTGAACTTGAGATCGATGCCAGCATGCTTTACGACTACTACCGCATGTACAATGTACTCACCATCGACGTACGAGACAGGACAGACTTCGACGCTGGGCACATCTTTGTGCGTAACATCATGTGCATAGAGCCCTTGACCTTGCGCGATGGCGACTCCGCCGAACAGCTTCTAGACCGTCTCATCATATCGCCAGACGAGGAACAAGACATGTTCGACAAGAGGGCCGACTTCGATGTAGTTGTATACTACGACGAGTCGACAAAGAACATTGACTTCATGCATAGACACAACCGATCTGATAGCGAAATTGCGTTGAAGCGGTTATTTGACACCCTGCACGAGTTCAACGCGGACAAACCGCTCAGGCGACCTCCGGTTCTTCTCAAAGGTGGTCTTGACGCTTGGATGGACCTGGTGGGCCCACAGGCTTTGAAGACATCGAACACTGCTGGACAAGTGGCTGCTGGTCCGACGCGGGCTCGGGCTATCCGAAGATCCCCAGCCGCCAGTCATATCGCGAGGAACAATACGCAGAGAAGGTCGAAGCGCGAATACGTTCCCATGGACCAAGAAGAGCAGCAACAGTGGCTGGAAGAAGCTCGAAAGGGACGTGCTGCAGTCGAAGTGCCTCCGGCAGATGGTGAAGAGGAGGACGAACCTACGCAGGATTTCTACCGCTCGACAGAAGAGTTCCTACGACGATACCCCGACGTTGAAGCCGAGCAGTCATCCATGATGTACCCGTCCAAGTTCCAGTCGACCAATCAATACGTCGCACCTGCCATACCCGTCGCGCCTTCTCGGCCGCCACCGTCGGTTCCTAGAGTTAGCTACAGTGGCGTACACGATCGGCAAGAACAGAACCGCAATGTTGTCTACAACGGACAACCTCAGTTTAGTAACCTGAGGCTACATAGGACAGGCCTGCTGAACTTTGGTGTCACGTGCTACATGAACTCCGTGGTGCAGTGTCTCAGTGGGCATCTATTGCTTTCAGACCTGTTCCTCACCGGACGATATCAGCGAGATCTTCAACGAGACAACTGGAAGGGAACAAAGGGGATATTGCCAGAGGCGTACGCGACGCTACTGTCTAATCTGTACAAGGGCGATGTCACGTCCGTGCGCCCCAGCACATTCAGGGTAAGTCAAAAATGGAAGCAGAAACCAGGCATTGCTAACTTTGAACAGCGTATCTGCGGACACTTCAACTCGCAGTGGGGCATTGACGAACAGCAAGACGCCAAGGAGTTCCTGGAATTTGTCCTAGACTACATGCACGAAGACTTGAACCTAACCTGGAATAAACCGCCACTCAAGCCACTTTCAGACCAGGAAGAGCTGCAACGAGAGAGATTTCCCCGACAATACTCGGCAATGATTGAGTGGCGACGATACCAACACCGCGACATGTCGGTCATTGGCGGTCTATTCGCTGGTCAGCATGCATCGCAGCTTACGTGCCAGACATGCGGCGTAACAAGTACAACATACGAAGCCTTCTGGAGTATCAGCGTGGAGATTCCCCGAGACGGCGAATGCGATCTACGCCACTGTCTAAACTCATACTGCGCGCCAGAGCGTCTAGCAGGCGACGAACTCTGGCGCTGCCCTCGCTGCAAGAAAGACCGCGAAGCCGTAAAGAAGATCACCATCACCCGCGCCCCCGACACCCTCGTCATCCACTTCAAACGCTTCAGCGCCTCGCGCACGGAAAGCGCACGCAAAGTCCGGACGCCTGTTAATTTCCCGCTCCAACGCCTCGACATGGGACCCTTTGTCGAGCCACCCATGACGCCAGAACAAGAAAGATATGTGTCGGAAAAGGCCCGAGATGGACCTGCGCAGCTTGCTGGCGTGAAGAGCGATCCTACTATGAATGGGCCGTATGTCTACAACGCCTATGCTGTTATCTGGCATATCGGTGCTACGCTTGGAAGCGGGCATTACATCGCGTTTGTCAAGGATAAGTCTAGGGGATGTTGGCGCAGTTTCAACGATGATAAGATTACGGATTTTGATCCTGGGAATCTTCCGCCGCATAATCGGTTGCAGAACGAGAAGGCGTATATTGTTTTCTATGAGAGGGAGAGGGTTGCTGGTGGTGCTTTCTAGCGACACATGTGTCAATAACACGTCCAGCGCGTCGAGATGAGTGTTTACGCGTATTTGACTTTTGGCGCTGCATCTTGGGAAGTTTGGGTAGCGACAGTCTCTGGTTAAGATTATACTTTGCGCGTGCGACGAATTATGTCTCTGGGACGAAACGGGGCATTGCATACTTGGCGTTGGGATTATATACCTTGTCGAATATCATTCCGTTGAGACGCACCCGTGGGTTGTTGCGTTCGTGTGTAAACTTGTTGTGATGTTTGCGACGCGAACTCTAGCTACCTTAATGTCATAGTTCAGGTCGTCGTGAGGCTGACAGCCGATGATCGGGCAGCAGGGATGGTGAGGGACCGAACATTTTTTGTGCGATAAGATAAGGTTTCTGACTCTCCACACGTCGTTCCCCAGACGCCGCAACCCCTCTTCAATTGACTCTTCTTGACTTCTTCCTTCTCCCTCTCTGTACACGAATACTTGCAAATATGTCAAAGGGACGCGTTTGCCTTGCTTACTCTGGTGAGTACCATGCAACAGACGGTTCTATGCTAAATGCGTTCACTTGGGTTCACCTGCGTCAACTGCGTTCACTTGCTCAGAGCCAACAAACTAACCTGAGTCATTAGGCGGCCTCGACACCTCCACGATCCTGAAATGGCTCATCGGTACGTCAGAAGCACATTCAGACACACCTCACAATCTAACGCGTAGACAAAGAGGAGGGCTATGAGGTCGTCTGCTTCCTCGCCAACGTCGGCCAGGAAGAGCCGTGGGACGAGGTAGAGAAGAAGGCGCTCAAGATCGGCGCAAAGAAGATGGTCATCCTAGACCTGCAAAAGGAATTCGTCGAGGAGCTCTGCTTCCGCGCCGTCCAGTGCAACGCCTCGTACGAAGGCCGCTACCTCCTCGGCACCTCGCTGGCCCGCCCCGTCATCGCCCGCGCACAGATCCGCGTCGCGCAACAAGAAGGCTGTGGGTTCGTCTCGCACGGCTGCACGGGCAAGGGCAACGACCAGGTCCGCTTCGAGCTGGCTTTCTACACACTTCAGCCTACTATCAAGGTTATTGCGCCCTGGAGGCTGCCGGAGTTCTGCGACCGCTTCAAGGGCAGGCAGGATCTGCTGGACTATGCTGAGCAGCATGGTATTCCGGTTACGTCTACTAAGGCGAAGCCATGGTCTATGGACGCCAACTTGGCTCACTGCAGTTACGAGGCCGGTAAGACATGACATATCTAGACTGTATGCCTGAGACTAACAACCCAGGCATCCTCGAGGACCCCGATGTCTCTCCCCCAGACGACATGTGGACCATGACCGACTCCCCGCTCAACGCGCCCAACGAACCCACCGACATAACCGTCCACTTCGAAAAGGGCATCCCCGTCAAACTCACCACCCCCTCGCAGACCTACACCGACTCCGTCGAGCTCTTCACCGCGCTCAACAAGCTCGGCTTCACCCACGGCATCGGCCGCATCGACATCGTCGAGAACCGTTTCATCGGCCTCAAATCCCGCGGCTGCTACGACTCGCCCGCCATGACCATCCTGCGCCTCGCCCATCTCGACCTCGAGGGCCTCGTCATGGACGCCCAGGTGCGCAACCTGCGCGACCAGTTCGTATCCCACAACTGGAGCTACCAGCTCTACAACGGCATGTACTTCTCGCCCGAACGCGAGTTCATCGAGAACAGTCTGCTCTTCTCCCAGCGCAGGGTCAACGGCGAGGTCAGGTTGAAGCTGTACAAGGGTAACGCGTATGTGCTTGGTCGGTCCAGTCAGACGGAGAAGCTGTACTCTGAGGAGGAGGCTAGTATGGATACGCTGGATAACTTTAGTCCTATGGATACTACGGGCTTTATTGCTATTCAGAGCATTCGGTGAGTTTGCATCCATGGAATAGTTCTGGATAGATGGGCATTTGCTAACACATGATAGTCTCAAGAAGTACGGGCTCCAGAAGGCGGAGGAGGGCGAGAACATGTCGAGGGCTTAGAAGGCTTCGTCTGATATACCTACTAGCTTGACGTACGATACTACCTTGACGTACTGGCGGAGGTGGCTGCATCGTGAGAATCTTCATGATCAGGTTACTTATGCGTCTCCTGAGGTTACGCCGAAGGGGAAGTCGAGTTAGGATTGGGGAACTGCTCCGGTTCGACGAGTACGAGGAGAAGAGATGAATAAAATAGATACCAATGATAAAAGTCATACTACTAATCTGGCCGTGTGGTTTGCGTGCTGTCTGGTAATGAGAGATCCACTGAACCTGCTGCTAACAGATGTTTACACGGTTGAGAATCTCAGCTGAAGCTACCCTAATATTCCCATTCGCTTTCCAACGCGTGATTTAGCAAAGCAAAGTCAAAAATACTGCAACAACCCCATTGGCTGCCGCGACTGCCAAGCACTAAATCTAAATGGGGGTTGAAGCTCTTCCGAGCGTTCCGATATCGGTTATCGGGGTGTCGGTACCGCAAAGAGCAACCTCACACTCAGGTCCGCGATGTAGAATATCGCTTGCCTGTCTGTATATCTGCTGCTCACTTGGTGGTCTTCTCTTCTTCCTCCGCATGTATCCGCGTCTTTTCTGCTCTCTCTTCTTTAGCCTTCTCCATTTTGCGTTGCTTGTCTATTCCGGCCGTCGTGTCGTATACGCCGCTTGGTCATCTTGGGATCCCGCTGTCTTCTTTGTACTCCGCGTCCATATCCCCTTCTCATACATCCCCTCCGTCATCCTTATCCTCACCCTCATTCACCCTCTTCTCTTGCCTTCGTTGCGCCTCAACCCATTCCTCAGTCGTTGCGTAGGAGACAGGGTATGTTGCCCCGCTTCGCGGCTGTGCCGTCGGTCGAGGCTGCTGCACGACGAAGTTGTTGACGTAGCCCGGCGCATACATCGTACCCGGCTGCTGTACGAAGTTGTTGTTGACGGAGCCTGGCGCGTACATCGCGCCTGCCTGCTGCATGACGACATTGTTGACGGGGCCTGGTGCGTACATCGGTCCCGGTCGCTGTTGCGGATGGAGATGCGTATGCTGTGGCGCATACATGGTCGGCCCATATGGACTTTGGTAAGCCCCAGCGACATTGTAGTCGGTAAAGGTAGGTTTCGAAAGGGGCTGCTGGTAACCGGGAGCAGGAGCAGGAGCGGGATACCGATGAAAGATCGGACGTGAAGCCATCTGGTTAAGGCTGTACGATCCATCCGACATATCCCCGGATGAATGCAACAAGAATTTCTGGAAGTCCGAAAAGTCGGACTGGTATTGGGCGTCCCCGCCATTCTCATCAGGCACCCCATTTTGAACTGCGTCCAAGTTCAGTCCGGCTTGCTCAAAGTCCTCAGCTCGCAAATCTTCCTCCTGGAAGGTATTGCCTGAAGGCTGATATCCCACAGGATGCGAAGTGCCATGGCCCAAAGTATCCTGACTCGAATTTGACGGAAACCTCATCAGATCCGCGTCAGGGAAGACATTACCATATTGTTGTTGCGGGGGATGCTGGTATTGCTGGTATCGCTGCTGCGGCTCCACGAAGTTCAGACGCGAGACTGGTGCCGTAACGGCAGGCGGCGCATATCCTGCTCCGGGACGGGCAGCCTGATAGTTTGGAGACGCAGGCGGATATGGAGCATATCGCTGGCTGCGCACGCTGTTCCTCGGCGCAGTCCTACGACCATACTGCACGCTTGTCGCTACGTGTGGGTGGTCCACATGCTCTCTTCGCGTAGGGATGACCAACTGTTGTCGGAAAGCTGGGCTATGAGCAGGAGGACCAGGAGCCGGCATGGTTGGCAGAACCCGAGGCCTGCCCTGCGCGAGCGCGAGTTCAGCCTCACTCAGGTCAGCTGCATTGGTGATATTACCGTTAGCACCCCATCTTGCCTTTGGCGATCCCGGAAGAAGCGGTCGTTGTCGCCGCGGTGGTGGTGGTGTCGAGTCTGCACTGCGACGTTTGCGAGCCATCTTGAATGGTTCGATTAACAGGGAAAGATATGTCAGTAAGGTTAAAAAAAATGTTGCTAATAAGATTGCAGATGTTGGCGAGCATGATTTATACGCAGCGTTTTCAGCACGCGCAGTGAAGTTCGCTAGAAAATACCAACTGGGACATGGTAAGAACATCTATCCGTGGTTCAACAACGTTTAACCATAGGTGTTTCTTCTACGCTACACACAGCAAACAACATACCAATATTGCATCTCCTTGCCCTAAAGAGAAGCCTACCTGAAGCACGCGTACATGTCTCTCTCGTCTCGGCCAAAATCAGCGACTGCCTCCGTAGACCAGCTCCTCCCGCCTCGTTGCAGCCACGCTTCATGTTCCAGATTCTCCCAGATCGAATCGGCAACGGGCTCCACAGGTGGCATTCGCTTACGGTAGGCTTCCTTTGGTGCCTGGCTTGTCCGCCTATCCCCGTGCACGTTACTGTCATCCCGCGGTTTCTCCGGGCGCCCACCACGGATTACCATTTCTGTCTTTGTAGTTCCACCGCTAGGATCAACCTTAGTTTCACTGCGCACCTTCCCAGGGCGCCCACCACGGATTACCATATTTCTCTTGATAATTCCACCGTTGCTACCAACTCGACCATAGTTGTGAGTCTCCGTGTGCAGCTTCCTGCTATCTTGCACTTTCCCCGGGGGCCCACCTCGAATTGCGAGCTTCGTGACTCTACCGCTCCGACCAATTCGACCATAGTTACGCTTCTTCGCTTCCTTGGCTCGTGACTTAGCTCGCTTCTCTTCCAATTCCCGCAGAGCTCTCTCTAGCGAAGCGTTGTCCTCCTCCGGCGTTCGCGCGTCATCTTCGGACTCGCTAATCCACTGATCGATGGCTAGGGGTGAGAGCGGAGAAGATGAGGAGTCTAGATCTTGGTGGTCATGTAAGTCGGAGGATGGAGAAGGATGGCTGACTATTGCGATGTCCATGAACTCCTCCGCTAGACCTGCCATGTCAGTGCCGAGGAGGCTGTTGACTTCGTCGTCTCGTTTGCGCTGTGCCTTGCTTTGAGCGGTTAGCGGGACCTCGATGTCGTTGAGCTGGTCCGCTAGGTCGGTCATCTCGCTGTCGCTCATTTTTGGCGGATGATGGTGCTTTTATTATTTGAGTAGCTGACGTGCCGGATAGGAGTGAAGATATGAAGAGAGGCAGTCACTGTGCAATATATAAGGGCGAAGAAAGTGCTTGACTGAGACAAATTGTCTCGTATAGGCTGTGTTTCGTTGGTCCTAAGGTTCGGTCATTTGGCTAGGGTTCACTTTGGCGTACTTTTCGATCCCATGACAATGCAGCAATGAAATTTACTAGTCTATTACAATCTCATATGTGCCAAAACTATCCTACACCTACTCATACAAAAGAAAGTTTATAACCGTGCCGTAAGTACCCCATCATGAGTCTAAAGCTTGATGAAGTGCTCATGTAGTTTCACGATGCGACAAGCCCGCGAGTAGCTGTCTCACTCAAGCATAGCTTCCACCAAACATACTGACACTGCGGCCCATTCGCCAAGCACCCCAAAGCACCATGCCCAAGATCGCTAGGTTGGCAAACTGCCTGCAAATGACGAGCAGGAAAGTCGTAGCCAAGACAGAACTGGTCGACCAGCCGGAGGTGTCGACGTAGAGAAGGATGATGTCGTAGATGATGAAGATGTCGCGGAGCCAGATGAGAGGTACCACGGTGAAAGCGAAACGAGCGAGGTCGTTGCGTTCGGGTGACTGTGGGGCGTTAGTGACGGAACTTATATATTGTCATTAACGGCAAGACTTACACCATGAGCATTCTTGTTCGTAGTGCCATACTCCCTCCACACTTCGATGGAAACACTCAGACTGGCTGCGACAACGATAGCTTCGTGCACGATGTAGGTGATCCTCGTCGCACGGTCATGAGCCATGACGTTGGACCAAGACAAGAGCGCATCCGGGCCTGAGCTACCTGTGCTGATGTCTCGTGCCTCCAAACCCAGACCCCACGCTGCAACACCGGTACCTAGCATGGCAACCATGATGAAGGTGTTCCAGATCCGCGACATGGTCTTCGGCGTCGAGATACCCGTACCGTTCTCTTGGACATGACTAGAATGGATCCAGACTCCGCCGTTGAGCAGCACCGTGAAGAAGATGGTCGCGAGCGTCGTGGCGAACGTAAGCGCCGAGATGCTCGAAGCGTAGTCACTGTCCGCGAGAGTGTATCCGCGACGGCCATTCCATCCTAGATCCGCATCGTAGTCGATCGTTCCGCTCGTCTTGAGGAGATCGGATATGAAGCGACATAGGTACGCGACAAAGAGGCAGAGAAGCGCCGGCCAGAGGAAGAGGTAGGTTCCCAGTGTCGTCTTCAGCGGGCCATCGCGCGCGCTATTCTTGCCCGGTGCGGTGAAGCGGCGCTGTTTGATCCGCTGGAAGGTAGGCTTCGAAGCCAGACCAAGGAAGATCAGAGCGCCGGCTGCGGTGATGACATCGAGTGCGAAGACGGCTTGGTAGGATTCTCGTTCGTTGGTGATGTTGATGTTGGACATGGCACGCTATGTGAGGTGAAGCGCGTGGGTAGTTCGACTCGGTGAGATTGGATGGCAGATCGAAGTTGGCGCGAAACCCCATCTTTGACTGCATGCGAAATGATGAAAAAGCATGCCTGATGGCTATGACGTTGATTGCTGTCACCCGCTTGGCAATAAGGTGTTGGGTGGATCTGTTCGGATCTGAGTGCCGACGATGGCGGTGCTCGGCAAGGACGGCAGGTATGGCGAAGACTCGTTCTTTGACATGTGTCACAGCTGCTGCTCCTAGCACGTTGTACAAGATCAAAGACCGCGGTTTGTACGGGGAAAACGCGTAGGCGAACGCATGCGTACCGACGATGCAGCCCTGGGGTGAACGACTTGTGGAGGTTGGGGAATAGCCTAGCTGGTATGCGGTTTAGTTGACGGGAGGAGCGCGGACGCTAATCCACCGCCTAACCGCTTCAGGATCTGGCAGTTCGCCTCCCATCCCATTCCGTCATATCCGTTTTCTCGAGACATCTCCTTTTCCTGGTGCATCTAATGTCGCGTGGCATCTCCTTCATCAAGGGCGGCTGTGGGTTCATTGGACGCGGTGAGACGCACTGTGATGTCGATGGCGCGACACAGCCATAGGGGATCCTCGGGGCCGTTGCACTCTCCACGGCGCGTTAAGATGTGTATTGCGGAGAGAATTAACACGTTGCATGTTAACTAATTTAGGACAAATGCATTGCAACTTGCATTGACCATAGAAAGAAGAATAGGAAAGCATAAATCATTAGATAGGAAAGCAAAGAGAACATCCACCAACCCAACTCCGCCGTCCCCGTCACCACCCTCACCAAGCGCACCCCACCACCACCACCTACACCCCACCCAACCCCAACTTCCCCACAACACCATCCACCAACCCCCCAATACTCGCACTCTGCAAAATTTCAAACACACTAACCGTCGCCTTCGTCTCTCTCTGAATCCAGTTCTTAATCTCAACAGCCACCAACGAGTCCGTGCCATAGCTGCTCATCGAACGCGTAGCATCCAGTTCCGAAACATCCATCATCAAACTGCGCGACAACTTCTTGAGCAGCGCTGCGAGGATGAACTCCTTCGCTGCCTCCGCAGATGGACAGGAAGAGAGCTGCGCGGAGAGCGATAGCGCTGTAGTCGTCGTACCATCATCTGACGCCTGAGCAGGCGCATCGATCTTGAGATGCGGGCGCAGGTACGGCAGGTGACTCAACACGGGATCTCGGGCGAAGAACGGCGCTTCTCCATCATCCAAGCAACTAATGTCAAGATCGGAATCAAGACCGGTGACGACGTGCCCCATCATCGGTTCGCGAATACCCAGCTCGATGAGCGCCAACATCTCTTCCTCATGAATGTGCTTGAACTCCTGGACTTGCACTTTGCGACCTTGAACTTTCTTCTCGACGACATAGCCCACGTCGCCGACAATACCCAGATCGATGGCTGTAGCTGGCAGACCGAGCGCATTGCGGTATTTGGCTAGTGCGACTTGGTACGCGCAGCCTGCGGCGTAATTGGATTGACCGGGGTTGCCGATGAAGGAGTGGAGAGAGGAGAGGAGGACGAAGAAATCGAGTGACTGGGATAAGGTGGTCTCGTGGAGGTTCTTCGAGCCGTGGACCTTGGGAAGGATAGTCGAAGTCCATTGATGCGAGGTCATTGTGCTGAAGAGGGAGTCGTTGAGGGTCATCGCGCCTTGTATTACACCCTTGATCGGCGGGAAGGAGCGCAGGGTGTCGGAAAGAAGGTTGGAAAGCTCGAGTGCGTCGGATACGTCACACTTCAAAATGGCAGTGCGGACGCCCGAGGCGTGAAGGGATTCGAGGAATGCTTGGGCTTCTTCTGATACTGCGCCGAAACGAGAAATGAATATGAGGTGTTTTGCGCCGTGGGTGACGAGCCATTGCGAGATGCTTCGTCCGAGACCGCCTAGACCGCCAGCGAGGAGGTAGGAAGCCGATGGATCGAAAGAGATACGGGGTGGTGGTCTCTGGGCAACCTGAAACTTGTTAGTAGCATCTTCAACATCGATACACGGATGGTGACTTACAAGAACTTGATCATCAGCCTGCGGCACCATTACCACCTGCTTGTCGTAACTCGCATCTTGCAACGTCTTGACAGCCTCATTCAGCTTGGACCAAGGTAGGACCTCCATAGCGCTAGGTTCGAGCATCTTCATCTCGGCGGCAGCGCTCATAGCTTCTTGGAATGCTCGGCTCGCAAGCTTGGGCTTCTGCGCAG